TGGAGGAACTGTGTGCGTTTGGTAACGAACTACCGTTGTATGAAACTCCAGGCCCAGATGGGTTTTCTTACACATATTAAAAGCAATTTATCGCAGATATAGGCCATGCCCTATTCGAATTTTACTCCTCTCTGCCAATCCCTCCACTGGCCCCCGCTCAGTGTCCTCCATCCCTCTCATAATTTCAACATTCTCATATCAGTCATTCCCAAACCAGGTAAAAACTTAACGACCCCAGCTAACTACAGGCCCAGAGCATTATTAAACAAGGACTATAAAATATTTACGAAAACTCTTAGCAAATCGTTTGGCTCCTTTACTTCCAAAAATCATACACAATGATCAGGTGGGATTTTTCTTGACAAGACAGGCAGGAGACAACACTAGGCGTATGATCAATTTAGTTGACATACTCCCTGGCTCATGAACACCAGCTCTATTGCTAAGTTTAGATGCTCAGAAGACATTTGATTGACTGGGATGGCCCTATATGTTTGCATAACTGTGATATGTGGGAATAAAAGGGCCTTTTTATTACGGCATTGTGTTCATGGCCTACCGCACAAGTGAAGCTTCCCTATGCTACATCTGACACTTTTCCTATGCTCAACGGAACTAGACAGGGATGCCCTCTGTCCCCTCTCCTATTTGAGTTGTGACTTGAACCATTAGCAGTAGTGATCAGAACACACCCTGACATAGTGTGAGTGACTGTGTGGGGGAAGGAATATAAACTCTCACTTTTTGCAGATGGCATTCTATTGACTATAACTAAACCTCACTTGTCACTACCTGCTTTGCATAAACTTTTACAAACTTTCAGTGATTTATCTGGCTATAAAATAATCACTTCAAAGACAGAAGCTATGCCCCTTAAAATCCCAACCCAAGATCTCTCACTGCTCCAACAAAATTATTCATACCACTGGTGCATGTCATCTATTAAATGCCTTGGCACTCATATAACCCCAACTTATGCTCAGCTGTTTGAAGCTAACTATCCCCCACTGTTTCTGGAAATGTATATTCTCCTAAATCAGTGGGATGCTTATAAGATATCTTTCCTGGGTAGAATACATGTGTTTAAAGATGTCAATTCTGACAGCTACTTTACCTTTTTCAGACTTTACCAATTGCGATTCCACAAGCTCAACTGAAAACTCTACAACAAGCATTTCTTAGATTTATTTGGCATGCCAGAAAGCCCCGAATAGCGAGAACAGTTATTTTGTCTAAAAATAATGGAGGCTTAGGGGTCCCAGACATTACCAAATACTATTTAGCCACAAACGCTATCATGGTTTACCAAAAAGCCTCAGAACAGATGGACAGAGATTAAATTAGGTTATATTTATCTGCTTCACACATATTGATTGTTACGCCCTTTTCGTTATGTATTACCTCCCCCCTGTCAGGAATGGACTTGCCAATAGGTGGAACTCACCTGCCTTGTGGGCTGCAGTACCAGGGCTGGCCAGCGGGTGCTCTCAACAACCAGAGGTTCACTTCGGCAATTAGCCATCACCTGGGGCTGATTGCAGGTGGTGTATTTAAGGGATGGCCAGACCTGCAGTCTGTGCCTTGGTGTGTGTTTTTCCATGGGCCCCTGTACCTTGTAACCTGCATTCCTGTTCCTGCCTGACTTGTTGCCGACCCTGCCTGATCCTGACTTCTGCTGACTTCTCCTGTTTGATCCCTGGCTTGTGACCCTGACCATTCTCTCCGCCTGCTCCTCCTGTACCTACCTGCCCGATGGTTATCGACCCGGCCTGCTTGACTACGTTGTGCTCTATATGTGTATGTACCTGTGTATCTTTTATCAGTTTATGTTTGGGTTTTTTTCACCTTGTTGTATGTATTTGTGTTAGCTTGGGGTTTGGTGCACTCCGTTTATGTTTGTATTGTTAGTCTTAATAAATTGTCTTATTTATACCATATCTGAAGCTTGCGTTTCCCTGTGTCAGTCCACACACTTCTGGTCACACCCCCATCCCTGACACCCCCCTTGCTCGAATCTATGAAATTTACCCTCAAAATTTGGTCAACTTGTGTGAAATCTCAACAGTTATTGTCCGTGTGCTCTCCTATGCTGAATGTTTTATATAACCCGGAGCTCCCAGATAGTATTAGTTTCTTACCCACAGATGAGTACTTGGGCAATTAATGCAATATTTCAACTCCGTCATCTGACCAAACCGGTCTCGTGCAGGATTAGGTCATTTGAGGAGATTAGGGCGTGGAAATCCACAATGCCTGTATCAGACAGATATACCTATTTACAGTTCCATCATTTCTTCCGTTTTTGAATCCCTCTTTAACACTAGATCACCCCACAGATTTCGAGAGGATAGCTGTTAACCTCCCTGACGGTATTCCTGAGTGTAGCTCGGGGTAAAGTTTCAGTACCAAAAGCGGTAACCCTGAGCTACACTTGGGCTTACCATGTGGTGCTGCCCTGGCATCTGTTCTTCACTTACCTTGTCCTGCGCTCTCGCGATGTCCCCCCTGCAATGTCCCCGGCAATGTAATCCGGTGGATGCCGGCATCTGTCATCTGGGTTCTGTCCCCTGCGAGCGTCGGGGGACGGAACTTGCGGGAAATTTGAAAATGACAAAAAGTGACATTCACTAAATACACTAAAATCTCATAGTAAAACATTACTGTATCAAACCATTTCACATACATTTTGTCCCGAGTGCTTTGTCCTGTGCCCTGCCTGCATTTTTACTGTTCTTATTGCCTAAACTGAGAAACGTCCATGGCATCCAAAAAGTGTCCCTTTAGGTCAAAATCAGTTTTAGACCAGCTAGAGAACAGCGATAGTAAATCAGAACCACTTGCAGAATTGAGTGATAAGGATTTGTGGGGGAAATTCATCATCAGACACTGAAAACGATTCTGCGACTTTGCTCAGCGATGTGCGAACTTGGCGCTATATTTCAAATTTCAGTGTTTTTGGTTTGATTATATTATTGAATTACATTTATTATCATTATATTATTTTCTTTTTATTTATTAAATTATAATTAATGATTTCGTGTTTCAAATTTTATCATACCCGGGATGTTTACTAGACTCTTGTTTGGACAGATTTCAGTGAGTTATTCCTAAAAATTACAGGCCTACAATAAAAAAAATACATATTTCCATGCAAAAAAAGTACCACTTTGAGCACAGAAATATGGACATAATCAGACTGCTAGGGAGGTTAAAGATCCCTCCCAACATATTCTCGCCTTTTCTATATAAACTACTTTTCAATAACCGTTTTCTTATTGATAATCCCCACCATTATATGAAGCGATGGGAGGATGAACTCCACTGTTCAGTCTCTTTGAAATGTTGGCAGGTGATTTGGGAATCTGTTGTTAAGACCTCTCGTGTTGTGTTCAAAGAGAACTTGTATAAAATATTGATGCACTGGTACAAGACCCCTGTAGTGCTTCACGCGATAAACCCGAATCTGTCTGACAGGTTCTGGAGGTGCATGGGATGAGTAGGAACCTTGGCACACATCTTTTGGTTTTGTCCACAAATTGCGGGTTATTGCGCAATGTTAAAATGGTCTTGGAGCAAGTATTCAATGTTACCCTACCCCTAGACCTACACTATCTTTTGGTGCTACCCTTTAGGGGGATCTCTAAGCAGTCTGAAAGGTTGGGAATACATATTCTGATGGCTGCTAGATGGGTGATACCATGACTTTGGAAATCAGTTGATGCTTCTACGCCAAGTCATCTCTTAAGAGCGATCTCTGAAATCAGGGAAATGGAATATCTTACAGCTCTAGTGGGTGAATACTCAGGACACTTTCACTCTGTTTGGGAACTATGGGATCATTCTCTCTTTTGGGTAGACTTCCTTCCTCTCCTCCTCTCCCCCCCCTTATATAGTCCAGGCACCTCTTTATGTGCCAAGCCTCTGACTGATAATGTAAGCCAACGATGTGCAGGCGTCTGTCATTTTGTGCCTTTGTATTGTGCATTTTATCATGCTGTCTAATTATGTTCATATTTCTTCGGTTTTTGTTTTTTTTTTATATTGATCGTTTTTTCTTTCAATGCAACGTTTACACCTAAAGTGTTGTAACTGTGTTCTGAAAAAATGGGCTTTGGCCTTTAATAAAAATTTACAATATTAAAAAAAATACTCCAATTTTGTAGACATAACTGGACCAGACATGTAAGGGTTTTTATAAGGTGTTAATGAATAGAATATCTTTAAATATGCACATAGATTTAAAAAAAATATAAATTTTTATTTATTTCAGGTACTTGTATAGCGCCGTCAATTTACACAGTGCTTTACATATATATTGTACATTCACATCAGTCCCTAACCCTCAAGGAGCGTACAATCTAAGGTCCCTAACTTATATTCATACATACACATACTAGGGCCAATTTAGACAGGAGCCAATTAATCTACCAGCATGTCTTTGGAGTGTGGGAGGAAACCGGAGTACCCAGAGAAAACCCACGCAGTCACAGGGAGAACATGCAAACTCCAAGCAGGTGGTGCCAGGGTTGAGATACGAACCAACGACCCTAGTACTGCCAGACAGAAGTGCTAACCATTTAGCCACTGTGCTGCCCAAGTTTACAAGTTTATATAAAGACACACTTTTCCATAAAATACATATGAACATTTTTCAATGATAAAATCATTGTATATTTTTTCCCATCCAAAAGGTAGATATATACATTGTGTCATGTAAGCCAGACATAATTTTTCTACAGAATACACCAATGATTAAAGTGGTTGTAAACCCTTACATATACCCTTGAATTGACTGGTCACAGGTGTTACATAGAGATGAAACAAATCCTCCTATGTACGTTGTACCTGTCTATCTGCAGTCATTTCTTCTCTACATCCTTGCAAAGTGCTGAATTTATAAAGTTTGTCTAAAAATTCAGAAAAAAGGGGGCGGAGTGCTGAAGTTACACTCTGCAGAGCTCAGTGAGGAGAGTTCTGAGAGGTGATTGGAGAGAAGACACCCCACCCTGTACACAGGAACAGAGCTGAGGCTGTCAATCTGCTGGAGGTCCCTCCCCTGTCACCATTTTTATCTTGGTGTCTCTTGGAGAAATGAGGCAGCAGACAGACATGACACGTAATGCTCTGGATTGAGATAAGTATACATTATAGAAGGATATGCTTTGTTTATACTTCACATCTGAGGTTTCCAATCATTTTAATAGTGAGATGGTGGCAATAAGTTTTACGTGTTTGTCAGAATGGTACAGGGCAGAAGTATGAAAAAACCGTATACAACTACATACATACCACTTATTGTACCATTCCAAATCATTCTTAAATATTTTATGAAAAAATGTGTTTTATATAAACTTTTAAAGAACAATGTATATTTTTATAAATGTATGTTTTATGACTTAAGATGCGGTATTAACTGAAACCTTAAAGTGATACTAAAGTCGTTTTTTTTTTTTTTTTTTTTTTTTTTTTAAATCACAAACATGTCATACTTGCCTACTCTGTGTAATGGTTTTGCACAGAGCAGCCTGGATCCTCCTCTTTTCGGGTCCCCCGAAAGGCACTCCTGACCCCTCCCTCTTTTCCGGTTTCTCCAGAGCAAGCAGCTTGCTATGGGGGCACGCTCCCAAACTACAGCTTTGCGTGTCCATTCACATGCAGAGAAATGGCTCAACCCCACCACCTCCTGATTGGTTCAATGGTTATGACTAGAGATGAGCGAATCGAACTTGGCGAAGTGGAATTCGTTTCGAATATTAGGAAAAATTCGATTCTCACCGAATCCGAATTTTAGCAAACTTCGGATGCACGAATCGAATTTTCCCCGATCAGCCGGCAAAAAGTGTCACTGCAGAGAGCTCCGCTATTTCTGACAGTTCTCTGACAGTTCCTTCACATTTACAGTGGTTGAAACATTGTATCTATTTGTTTCCATTTAGGATACAGATGTTTTTATTCGGAAACAAATAGATACAATGTTTCAACCGCTGTAAATTTGAAGGAACTGTCAGAGAACTGTCAGAAATAGCGGAGCTCTCTGCAGATACACTTTTTGCTGTACTGGAATTCTTCTTCTTTTCATTCTTCTTCTTCTTTTCATTCTTCTTCTTCTTTTCATTCTTCTTCTTCTTTTCATTCTTCTTCTTCTTTTCATTCTTCTTCTTCTTTTCATTCTTCTTCATCTTTTCATTCTTTTCATTCTTCTTTTCATTCTTCTTCTTCTTTTCATTCTTCTTCTTCTTTTCATTCTTCTTCTTCTTTTCATTCTTCTTTTCTTTTCATTCTTCTTCTTCTTTTCATTCTTCTTTTCATTCTTCTTTTCATTCTTCTTTTCATCTTTTCATTCTTTTCATTCTTCTTTTCATTCTTCTCCTTCTTCTTTTCATTCTTCTCCTTCTTCTTTTCATTCTTCTCCTTCTTCTTTTCATTCTCCTTCTTCTTTTCATTCTTCTCCTTCTTCTTTTCATTCTTCTCCTTCTTCTTTTCATTCTTCTCCTTCTTCTTTTCATTCTTCTCCTTCTTCTTTTCATTCTTCTCCTTCTCCTTCTCCTTCTCCTTCTCCTTCTCCTTCTTCTTCTTCTTCCCCCGTGACTGCCCAAATGAGTGAAGTGTGCGGTGATTCTAAGATCGACGGCACTCATCTGCATGTCATACTGACTGACAGTATTATTTCTCTTCCCCAGCAGACTCCAAGGGCATTTAAATTAAAGGTACAGTGTTCTGCACTAATATAAAGGCTCTCTGAAGCCTAGAAACCCTTTTAATAAGTTAAATTCGCAGCGAATAAATTCGCATCGAATCGAATTTCTCCCGCAAATTCGGTGAATCAGCCGAATCGAATTTTTGAATAATTCGCTCATCTCTAGTTATGACTGACAGCAGCGGGAGACTGCTGCCTCAGCCAATCAGGATTGAGAGTCCCCAGAGAACTGAGGCTCTCGTGGACATAACTGGATTGTGAAGGGGCTCAGGTAAGAGCCTTTCGAACCACTTTAAAACAGAATTTTTTTAACCAGGGTTCCATGGGGTGCCTTCTGGGTTCTTCAGGGGTACATTGGCAATTTGCTTAAAAATTGCCCAAATATTGTCAGCAATCTGGCAGGTGGATCAAGCCTGCCTGTTTATTATGCAAGCCACAAGTTTTCATTGTGCAGCATTGTAATCTTCTAAACTTAGCTGCGCATGTGAAGCTCAGTGTAAATTCTGCAGAGGATTGCACATAGGCAGGTATGTGTACTTTGCATGTCTCTTCAGTAATAGAAAGCCTATCTGTTTGCAGCATTATATTTTTCAAACTGCCTATGAAAAAAGTACCAGGGGCATCTCATGGGCCCCCCTACTGACCCCGGACCCTCAATAGGGTATCATGGGGCCCCTGTGTCCTTGCCCAAACTCAAAGAAGCCTATGAAAAAGGTACCAGGGGCATCCCATGGGGCCCCCTACTGACCCCGGGCCCTCAATAGGGTATCATGGGGCCCCTGTGTCCTTGCCCAAACTCAAAGAAGCCTATGAAAAAGGTACCAGGGGTATCCCATGGGGCCCCCTACTGACCCCGGACCCTCAATAGGGTATCATGGGGCCCCTTTGTCCTTGCCCAAACTCAAAGAAGCCTATGAAAAAGATACCAGGGGCATCTCATGGGGGCCCCCTACTGACCCCGGGCCCTCGGGCAGTGCCCTAGTTTCCAAATGGTCAGTCCGCCCCTGGCTACAAAATAATAAATGTTTGCTTTCGGGTTTAATACCGGACTAGATGTATGCCATTTTAATATTACAAAGGTTTGTGTATACAAAAAAATATGCATTTTAATAATGTTTTCAATATTCCGCTTAAAATTCCAGCAAGTTTAGTATTTATTATTGCTGTGTTTTTTTTGTTTTTTTTTTAATGCAAAACTATAGTATACATTCTATAAGCTGTTTATTTTAAATAATAAGATTTAACATGCTAACCAAAAATATATTCTGTATCCTAATGTTCTTGACAATGTGAAAACCTGCAGTACCTACTTTTTATTTTGGTATAGAATATTGTAAGTACAGCCCGTAAGCAGAAAAGTCTGGGTACATTTTGCAGCTTACAATTCAGGACGCCTAGCTGCCATATTGATGTTCATTCATAATGTCATAAGAGGATTATGATACTTTCTGTGGTTAGTTTATTTCTATAGATACCCATCGATATTCATCTTATTTCTACCAGTTACAATGAACAGCGATGTTCTATAAACATCTAACTCTCTGCATCCCTTTTTAGAGTTTATGACTTACAGTGCCCAAGGCACCATTATCACATCAGCCATCAGTCACCAGTTATGATGGGTCCTGTCTCGACATTTAACTGTAATGGATGGGAGATTTTCAAAATAAGTTTATTTTCCCAGCTGTGGCATTAAATTTTCTTTATAACTATTTACTTCATGTCTCTCTTCTCCTTCTGTTATTTATCCCCTTGTGGATGTATCTTCAGACTGGCAGCTCAGTGGGTCGTTTGGGTGAAATATTTCCTAGTGTTTCGGTTGGAGGAAATAAATCCAATTTATAACGCAAGTTACATTAATACTGGGATTAGGACCCATAGAAAGGGTCTTCTAAAGAAAACTTGGTGATATAATACCTGTTGTGATCATTACCAGTAGTGGACCAAGGCACCAGTGCCCCCCAGCTCAATATATGTTACCGAGCCTACTGGTTCCTCTCCTTGTCTTAAGGTGTCTCCATTCTGGGTGGAGGAGAGCAACAGAGACACCCTTGGACAGCAGCATTGTCAATCTGGGGAGAGGGTAATATAAGATGCACTAGTTGATTTAGATGAACCTGACTAACAAATTTAAAGCCAGGACCATCTTAACCTCTTCCAGTCCGGACTCTTTCACCACCTTCCAGTCCAGGCCAATTTTCAGCTTTTATCTCTATCACACTTTGAATGACATTTGCTCGGTCATGCAACACTACCCAAATGACATTTTTAGCATTTTTTTTTCGAGGCAGATAAAACTCTTTTGGTGGTATTTATTCACCGCTGGAATTTTTATTTTTTTTACTATATAAATGAAAAAGACCGAACATTTTTTTAAAGTGTTTTTTTCTTATAAAATTTAGCAAATAAATAATCTTTCGTCATAAATATTGTCCAAAATTTATTCAGCTATCTTTGTGGTTAAAAAAAATAACCCAAATCCGTTTATTAAAATAAAATTATAATTTTTCAAAACATTTTTTTTTACATTTTTATTATATATATATAATTTTTTTTGTACATATTGTCACCCTAGTGACACTGTACTACTTGTGGAAGCTGATGAAGATTTATTTATTATTTTATTTTTTTTACATTGATTGCTTTTACACTCATAAAAGCCATAAAAACAATAATTTCCCCTTCTTTCTGACTGCATTCCTGCAACCACTGAGAAATACTGAGAGAGCTGTGATTGGTCACAGCTTGTCACATGGTAGAAGGCTGTTTTTGAATGGCCTTGTACCATGTGATCTTTGTGATCATTCACAGATTTCACAAGTAGTAAACAATATCAGGAAGTGACATCTTGTTTACTACTGTTCATTTGATTGGGACCTCACACAGTGGTCCCATACAACGTTCTGTGTTCCACTGTGTCTGGTGCGGCGCTGCGTGCTCGCAGGGTGTGCGCACAGGCAGTGGATGTGGGCAGTGGTGTATTAAGGTTTCCTGCTGCCCTAGGCATACAAAAATTGGCTCCCCCCATGGAGATACCCAGACACCAACTAAACACCTCCCTCCCCCACGAAGAGAGCCTGACATTGACCAACAACACCCCCCAGCCCCCTATATACTGGCAACCTCCTCTCCTCCCCCCACCCCATCCCGGCAATAGAGAAGACACTCACATTCACAGCTCTGGACATCCCCGGGAACAAGAGTCAGGCTCTGCATACACCATCAAGCAGCCTGCAACCTCTCTCAGATCCCACCTGGTCCACATGCTGCATGTGTCCCTTCTTCCATCCCTTCTTTCGGGGGGCAGCACTGCCCACCTAAAGAATGCTGCTGCCCCCCTGAAAAATGCCTCCCCAGGCAAATGCCTTGTTTGCCTTGTGGTAAATACACCCCTGGTTGTGGGGGGACATTTAGAAACCTCTCCCTGAATTGTCAATGAGGTTAA